GTCTCACTAGAAACAGGAAACCCGATTTGTTTAATAGTGTTTCCAGAAACTAGTTATGGTTGCCCTTACCATGATATTTCCGGCTCCTATGTCTCGCAAATCTCTTTCAGCATCGTACTTTAAATCGGAAGATACAGACAACCATATAGACCGTTTTCGACCAAGCAGGTAGTTCTCGAAAATTATCGCTGCCACGGTTCGCCCCTTTCCAACGCCAGCTCCATCGCCTTAAAAATAATTAAAACTTCGCTGAAGTGCCGGCGAAGGCAAGACACATAACTGTTTCATACCTATTAAATATCCTATCCGCTCTCCGCTGGGAAGTCTTTGCTGATGCATTTGACAGGCATAAATAACGGCTTCCAGTTGTAGGGCAGATATGGAACCATTATCGATTAGCTAGAACACAAATGTTCATTAAGGACAGAGAAGACACTGAAAAAGGGAAACATACATATTCTGGAATGCTAATCTGGTATTTCACATCAGGCGGGGCCACGCTACTAAGTGAAGCCGTTTCTACAACACTATCGGGATGGGCGACACCAGAGCGGAGTTTGGCTGGGACATAGTCCGCATAAGTCTCTGCGTAGCCAAGATTCTCTTCCTGAAAGTGCTATTTCACAGAAAAGCTCGTAATCATTTCAACTCAACTGAAGCAGAACGAACATCTTCATCGATTTCGGAGCGCTTTTCAGTAGCTGACTGGTGAGCTAGCTTCATTTCGTCTTTGGCTTTTTGTGATTTCGAGTATGGTTTTGACGGTTGCGCGTTTGGTACAGGCACCGAAGACTGAAATGATCACAACCAATGTTTTTGGGGTGTTCGCATGATAGCAAAAGAAATGATTAAGTAAACAGTAATAAACTGCGAACTTACGTTCAGTGGGGGTCTATTTGTGGGTACCGGCGTACTCGACGAGAGCATTTTCGTGACGTCCAAATGTTCGAAAGCACCAACAGAGGATGCCACAGCGGCACCCACTACTGGCACTCCTCTTGTTGCTTTGTGTTGCTGTAGAGTTGCAGAAGATGAGTGGACCAAGGCAGGATGAGGCCGACGCACAACTTCCCCAGGTCTTACGCCTGCTGGACGAGATGAAGTAGAGTACTAAAACAAGAAATTGCAGCCGAAACGGAAGTCATGAAGTTTAGGGACCCTATGCTAAGGCCGAACCTGTTGTGTAAGTTTCTGTGAAGAAGCATTGTGGTGTTCAAATACCGCATCAGGTTCGCGAAAATTCGGCTTAAAATTGGAGAATTATTGGAGAATGAAACTTTATTTGGTTTAACTCTTGAAGGAACACTAGAATAAATCGAGCGAGAAAAAAAGGGTGGTCATTTACCTGTCCAGATGTATTTCCACCAGGTTCTGAGAACTCCACGTACGATGGAGCACCAGTTTTATTCCCACTCCAAGACGAAGCGTTAGAACGTGATGTTGAGTAAGCTGCAGCAGGTCGAACAGAATACCCTGAAAGGCAAAAATGTGCACATTCCACTCCGGTCATTCGAGAAATCGAAAAGAAACCTCCGCGAAACAGAAACTCCGCGAATTCCTTCCCTTCGTTCAACGCTTCCCTCCCACGAGATGCGCCCTCTGCGTGCCTGCTATGGAACTGACGCACCAGGCGGCAAGAGCTTTCTAGTCCGTAGTATTGCTGCCTGAACTTGCGAACTGCACTTCTGGACGCCGACGATTGATGCGCCCGCGGGATCTGAAATCGCATACATTCTCAAAGGAACTAATGGATGGTGAATAGGTCCCATGACGCGAAAATGCAGTGATGTTTGGGTTCAATATAAAGATATATAAACCTAAAGAACACTTCGATTTGGTCTGAAGCGAACGATACGGTTTTCGCTGACAATCACTCCACTCGCACAAAAAAGAACTTCAAAAAACACAATGCCACGGTCGATACTATACAATACTTCGCGAGTTCCGTTGCTTGGTCCCTGGTAATCTAGTTCCACGAGGCACAAACTTTCGAACCAGTCCGCCATTTGTGGCCGCACTTAAAGCTTGCGCTATAGGCATACCAGCTGGAATCGGCTTTCGTATCAAAACTGGACCTAAACACCAATTACATAACAGACGTATAATCCGCAGAAACTTTGAAAATTCACAATATGAGTTGGAAAAGCTCAAAGTAAATTATTAGTTTGCTGGTAGTGAGTTGATGACGAGGTCATGGTCAAGACTAGGAAATGCACCAGCGAAATGCCCCAAAAACTGCATTTACTGCAGTCAAGCAAGCTAAAGCCTCGTTGATGCTTCGCAACAATAGTGATTCCTGTAGCACGTGACTGTAAGCCACCCCGCTTCACCTGTCATCGATGAGCAGTTGAACGGCTTGGAAGTTTTCTTGTTAATATGATCAGATTAGAAATCGGATGAACCATTGAAAATTACAGCACCAGCTATTAGGGGATCGCACCCGCGAGATTTAGAGATCGCTCGAGTCGCGAAGCATGAACACAGCGTGAGAGGCGACATTGCTGAAACGCGGTTAACGGATAGTGCAAAGAACTCTTAATTCCGCGCAAGGCAAAGGCGCATGCACAGTCACAAGATTCTTTGCATCGTGTGCATCAGCGCAGTTTAGATGCCTTAACCTGTCATGAGTATCATATCCTTCTACTCAATTCCAGATTTCTCTTCACATACACATACAGAAAGAAGTGAATACATAAATTGATCTGTATTCACTTCTTTCTGTGTGTATGTGCACACACGTACGTCTATGCATACCGGTGTGCTTCTACATTTATATACGTACAGAAAGATGATTTATAACTAATTCAATGCCTGAACAAATCGTTTCTTCACGCAATTACATATATTTATTAAAGATCATTACTGAGAAGAGCTATAAGTAACTTCAATATAACAATTAGGTATCATCATAAAACGCTCTACTCCTCCTTTCTCTTACTAATGAGCACAGAAGGCGGGATATCTAGTTTCCGTAAGCTACCCTTCTGAGTCATCCCTCTCTCTCTGAACACTAATGAAAGAAAGTTCTATGAAAGATTATAGTCGTCTAGAGGCTACATAAAATCAAACCAACATCAAATTATTTGCGCTCATTTCGGGGCCAATTACCCATCACTGAGCACGACTGGAACAAATAAGTAAGAAGTTCTAACAGTTGAAGTACCTGATGGAGTGTTTTGACGAATAACCACAATACGTTGAGGCTCTTTCACCGGGTCCGTGGAGGAGTTCTGATGTTCGTAGTTACTGACAATTCCGGGACTTCCATTAACATTCCTAACAACGAGGGACCTATTCCTTCCATCTGCTGCTCTAGTGGTAGAAATCGTGCGCACTGCACGGTACACAGTCTGACCATGCTCCTAAAAATTGAAAAGCTGACCAGCTACAACTTAGCTCCAACGACGTTCTCGTTTGATTAAAGATTACGTTAATGAATGGACGCAGTAGCTGTGTTCTGGGTCCATCAGGCGTATGCACTACCTGACGAAATAATTGCCCTCCTGTTGGACTTGCAGTGTACACCTGCCTAAAATGTAAAGAAGATTACTTCGCCACTTTCCCAGAGGTACATTCTCTGTGAACCAGATACTACCTGATTTGCTTCTGGGCGCTCGGAGAGGATCCTGGTTTTAGAGGAACAGTGGCTAGTCTGGGGGCAACGTTAGCCGAGGAATTCCTCACCACACCGATGCCTGTACGCTCAGCGACAGGTGAAACAGTCGAAGTTGAAGGCAGCGACATTTCAACTGAAATTAAGCAACAAATTTAGTGGAGGCCGCGATGAAATGAGTTAGCATTTGCAAGCGTTTTTAACACGTTCCGGACCACGTGACACATATGGTGTGCCAAGAATATGTCTCCAGGCGATGTTTTATTTTATTAGTTGGTTTTCTCGCAAGTTTCAGTAATGTCAAGACTCGGTTACGGAAGAGATTTACCTCATGAGCGATTGAAAAAGGAGGACATTACTGAAGAAATACCAATGAAAAACGAAAAAATAATCCAAAGAAGCGCGCAGGACGGCGGTCCGCAATGTGTTAAATATGACAAATCCTTCAAATATATGCAGATATTACAAAGGTTACCGTGATTGTCAGAAGAGGTGCTGGCACCAGGAAGATCCTCCGCAGGTGGGGTGACTTCATTCTGTTCTCTGGACTTGTTCGTGGAAGGAAGTGTGGAGGTGGTTGGGGTTGCTTCCACACTGAACGAGGACGTCGAAGGAGAGGGTGCAACTTCAGTACCGGTTGAAGTCCTTCAAAACAATTGTTATTTCCTTTGTAGCGCCCTTATGCAGGCACGAAAACTGAATAATAAATACTGTATTATCTAGAGTATACACGTGTTTATACCCTATTTTCTTGGGGTATACGGCACACGCGACAACGTGCACCAAAATTTCCCAAACATACTTCAGTTTTTTTTTGTAAATCCTCGTTTTTTAATGTGTTTTCAAACACTCCAAGGGGAGAGGTGTCCTATACATAGGCGCTCCTTACAACTCAGGCTAGGGTAAATAAACAATGTCACTTCTGCAAAATGTAAGCTCTCACATTACTTATTATCAAAACTCTTGCGCTATCGCTTCCTTGTACTTACAAATTACTGCGCTACTAAACTGGAATAATGTGGAATATATGGGTACAAAAAGGCATGAAATAATCACATGGATGGAAATGAGTCATACGGCACCACGTGGAAGCTGCGAAACTGTCAACGGGAAAGGAACTTCTGTGAGAGCGAACAGAAGAATTGGGTTCTAGTGTTTTTAGGGGAGATGCTACGCAATAGCCAGCTCTCTTCCTGCCAAGAAGCGTTTAACAGAACCCATAAAAGATAGCATATTCCAAGGGGAAATTGATCAGTTTTGATTGGAAAAGTAAAGTGCGTAAACTCACTGGAAGGTTCATCAATTTTTGTGCTAATCTCCTGCCTATCTAATTTCATAGGGTGCCATCAAAGCAACGGGGGTAGGGGTGGGTCCAGTTCCGCTGAGCATTCAAGGCATTCAAAAGTATCACTTCGCTCGAAGTGGGTTCATCCACCCCAAAGTTTCACCCCTCCTAGTCATAGCCACGGTTTTCATCCCCTGGTATACAGCTGCTTCTTTGCCCTTTTCAGCGTTAGGTGCCTAGCCCTGACGGTGTCAACCCGAAACCACGATATTTCGTGGAAAGAGCCCTCAGTGGTGCGAATCAAACACGCGGGAACCCATCTTGATGATGAGAAGGTGGACAGATAAGCCCTTATGAGTAAGGATGGTTCTTCGCACCCTCCCCCTCCCCTTTCCAGATAATTACCACCAAAAACTGGCTGATTATGCGTGATCTGTAAAATTCAAAATGAAAGCTTACTCATGTGTGGAAGTGGCCGGAGACTCTGATGTTGGCGGTGCAGCTGTGAGGAACTCTTCAAGACCCGCTTCACTCAATGCGACCGAGAGAAGGTCATCCATTCAAAAGTTAAGGTTAATTATATTAAATATCCTGAAATTAAGAAGCTGTTTAAAGTCTTGCACAGTCTGTTCGACAATGTACGATGGAAGTAGAACAGGAAAACGATTAGTTCGCTTCACATTCCAATACACGAATCAAAATATTTCCTTCATGAACAAAACAGTTCTTTCCGAAATGTCACTCTACATCGCGATCATGATCGGAATTCCAAAACAACTCGAGACTACTTTTCGATGAAAAAAGTACGATTCAAATCGTGTGGAGGATGAATCTGCAAGTGCTGGGCAGTTTGATGGACCCCTTTGTTAATCAAATTCTGGTAAAGACGATGTAGTTAAAGATGGCCATCTAAACGAAAACATGTACTAGCCTCATCCGAAAAGAAATTCCCTCAGACCTACCCATGAAGCCCACCCTTGACACTTTGTAAGCTGACAACAGAGTAATTCGTCACCTAAGCAATCTCAAGCAAGCTGACTCGCATAATGGACTTTCGATAATGTTTGTAGGGTTATATTTCGTCATATTTCGCAACAGTATTCGAATCAACACTGCACTTTGCGCTTATTACGAAAGAACGAGACTTGTCTATTTGACCTTGAACTCCAAGTTTTCCCTTTTCGCGCTTCAGTGACGAGAAATAGTCGATCACGACCGAGAGCAAATTTATAACTGAAATGCAACCTACGCCTTCCAATATTTTCATTTCTCCTGAACCTTCTCGCCATTTTCCTTCTGAAGAGATTTTCTACGAGCAAAGAACAGTATCCTAACTGTGTGGAACAGGCAAGGCTGATGTTCAGCTCACAAGTCGATTGAGCGAGAACAAGTTTGGCGCGGAGACAGATGAGTGAATGCATCGTTGACTCAACACGACACCGTACAACATCACCTTTAAGTTGGCGTCAGAGCGCGACGCTCGCAAAGTGAAAATGAGGACCTCCCCTCTAAAATTTCATAATGCTCTTTTTTATTTACCAGTACGTTAGCCTGATCTTTTCAAACACATGTTATTTTTGTGCTGAACTGTCTCCTATAGTGTCACAACACCCACATCAATAAGAATTATGATATATTCCTCTAGAGAAGCCCTTTACCTTTGCAACAGAGCAAACACAACAGGCTTCTCCAAGTACACTGACGCGGAAGAAATAACAAAAAAAATTAATAAATCGCTCATGCTGAAACCCTCGTACTAGTGGACATCCCGTGGCAGCTGAGGCACGACCCTTGTCGTTGAGGAAAGCGTTGAAATATTGAACGAAACACTGCAGAAACTTTTGAATCCTCCAAGTTTCTGGAGTTGTTTTGCAGTGAATTCTAGTACATTTTCATGTTTTTACGACACATTAGAAGATAATTCACAAGCCAGTGACCAAGCATAGGTCGGTTAGTTGCTATACTTGAGGAAATAGATGCCAAGAGGAAATTATAAGCTGGCGTGCAACTTTGCGACTCGGAAAATTCGATGATTTGGGAGATCGAGCGATCCGGCGATCTGGCATTTTGAGAGCCCGCCGGATCGCAAAATCTCCGCAATCGCTAGCGATCGACGCCGATCAGCACCCGTCCACCACTTTGGCGTGCAGTCGCAGGGACCACCGAATCGCTCGATCTCCCCCAATCGCCAAATCGATACCGACACTTTCCCCGTCGCACGATCTCCCAAATCGCCGAAACTGCTGAGTCGTACAGTATGAACGCGGCCTTACAGCACACTTTCTCGATCTAATCGCGATAAGAGCAGCATCCAATGTGAAATAAAAAATGTCGAGACAATTCTCATGCAGCATACCATCCTCAGTCTTTTGAAACTGGGAAAGAAAACGCTTTCATCAGCAGTTGTATAGGTGAGTAAAAACACTGGAAACCTTGTGAGACAATGGCTTATTCCTATCGCCCCCTACAATTCGATTGTGGTCACAATGCTGTTTATTGCTGTTTTCACCGGGAAATAAAATATTAGGAATATTCTCCAAAATCCCCGGGATTTATCGGGAGGAGCAAGCTGCTGTGAAGGAAATCTGTAGTACTACTCGTGGGGTAGTTTCAAGAATGAGATTTGCAATGGGCCATTAAAGTTTAGTAAGCGGCCCAGTTGTAGGGTATCTTTACAACTAAACATCAATGAATCATATAAGATGGGCTGCTAGAGCTATGGAGCGATTACGAATCGATGGACGATGGGAACAATGAGAAAATGCGCGACGGGAATTTTTTCACTGGTGAAATGCGTATGAACTGCGGAAACACCAACGGGCACCGCCCCCGGCCGAGACCGACTGCCCTCGTCCTGGTCGTGTCTGCCCTTGCCCTCGATCAATATTCAGAGTGATCTCCGACATAAATGATCATCATTAAAATGCAAATCAACCCTTTCGCAACTCTCCGGGTCCGATTGTGGTGAACGCGAGCAGTCGCATCACATACTACAGATTTCTCCACAAGAATAACCTTATTTATTTCATGAAGTTCTCTTCTTTGAGAATATTTAATGTAGTAGTTGGTTTTCCCGAAAATACCAGGAGAAACTTTCGATGATATTTGCACAATCGCGGAACCCTGCATGGATGTCGCAGCGCGGCAAATTTGAATCGGGGCCAGGTGGTATCGACGCACGGGCTGTTCGTACACACGCCCTGAGTACTCTGACTATTTCATTTGTTTCTCAACATTAGCTCTCTCTTTGGAGAGCTGTGCTCTCCGAAGTCTCATTTTTATCTGGATGTGTGGTAACAGTATGAAAACCCAATGTTTATTTAAAAAAAAACTCAGAGGCACTAAAAGTCCCGAAGGTTTTTGAAAATAGCTTGCAATATTCCGGTGCCCGGCACCTTCGTCAGATGAAATTTTTAGCTTCTTGTTTACCTCAGTAAGATAGTATACCTAGTAACTTACACGGACTGCTCCCCCATCAATCCACTTGCTCCACAATCACGGGCTAGTCAACCCTCCCTGACCATACTTTTAAGTAATGGGATAATTTGTGACACGATCACATGATGGCTTGCATGTCACGCAGTTCGTCCCTGTGTTATTTCGGGTAGTAGTCGTGTTGTTTTCAGAGCCTCCAGTACTTTCGGGTTTCTATTGAGCGATGCAGTACTCTGATGATCAAGGGGGGGGGGTCCGACGAACGTGTTCCTTTATGCCTGGATAAACTGCTATTTGGGTAAGAAGATGGATCCCAGCGCTTCCGGTGTTCGTCGATCCGTTTGTAGAGGGGCCTCCCAGTTTCTCCCACATATTTTCTGCCCGCATCCTTGACACTACCGAATAAACTGTCCCCCTGAGTTGACAAATTTTAGAGTCGTTGCAGTAACTACAACCTGCCCTTCCACACTATCTTCATAAGGCCTTGAAAAAGTAAGAAGGCGTTTTAAATTTGGTGGAGGACGGAATATTAAGCGTATCGGAAGTGGTGAGCACTTTACTACATTATTTACTTTCAATGTTTTTATACGACAATACCAAAAGGATTCGTCCGCCGAGGCATGTGGTCTCCGAGTATGGGTGTGAGTGCTTGGGTAACCATTCTCCCCTCACTATATTGTCCACCATCGAATATGCTTCTGAGAATTGCTGGGTGCATATTCTCTCCTTCGCGACTACCATATTTCGAACAACAGTGGCTCTTACATATAGGAGATGCTATTAAGGGGAATGGTTACACAAGCACTCACACCCATACATGGAGAGCACATTCCTTGGAGGACGGTGTCCCCTTGGTATTGCCGCATCTGAATGAAAGTAAAAATTAAAAGTAAATAATGTAGAAAAGCGCTCACCATCCCCGATACGCTTAATATTCCTTCTTCCATCAAATTTAAAACACCTTCTTACTTTTTCAAGGTTTTATGTGTTGCTGCATTTCTAGCGCGAAGCAACACATTCTTCGAAGCTGGCTTCTTATACCAGGATTTCGGGATTCCGTTTCTACTCTGAACTATAGTGTTTAAGAATAATACAAATTATTCACTATTGAGGTTTTCCACAGTAAACTTGATGCTGGGCTCCTGCGAATTCAAATTTAATGTGCTTCTCTGGTTCGGCTAGGGACGGACCAGTTACGAATACGTCGTCGATATATCGTTTATAGCAATTTATAGAACATGTCTGTTCCTTTTGTTAAGCGCTTTTCAGTACTCGGGTCATTTCTGGGGTAGGTTCACCTATAGTTACTTCACTTGCTTACACTTACTTATAACCTAAAGATTTTCGGGTTTCTGGGGCTTTCTTTATTTTACCAATGCATTGTCCCACACACTGACGTTATGAAGTATTGAGAGGGGCTAGCACGCGCATAAGTTTATTTAGTACTAGTCGGCTAACTAGGGAAGGATGACAGGTCGAAGTTTCCCTTCGAAGGCCCGCAAAAACTGGTTACGGGGCTGTTGTCAACCAGACGTGCTCTCGCTGCGAGGGTCCAGGGTTATTTTCACGAGGCATCTACCAGTCCAGTAGTTGAAGGGAGAAGGTAAAGGAGGAGGGATCAGAGAAGGAAGGAAGGAAAAGAAGGAGGGAGGAAGAAAAACGGAAGAGAGGAGAGGCTTCTCCTCTCTTTCCGTCCTCCTTCAAGGTTGACAAGTGCCCTGAGACGTAACCATATATACTTCCCTTTCAGCACAGTTGTCGGAATTGTCCGTGTCGCGTGGTATAAATGCGAAAACTACGTCACGAAGGGATTTAACGACTTACCTTTGCTGATTGCGCAGTAACCGGCTTCTCCCGGAATACTTATGCATCGGCGGAAGTGAAGGCAGCAGCCTTTCTCCGTGGTTGCCACCCACTTTCGTAGCTTTCTCAAGGATGATACCTTCTTCCTTATTCAGGCAGAGCTCTGAAAATAGTTTTTTTCAATACTTGCTCCGCTATTACTAGAGAGAGAAAGTGAAAGCTCCAGTGAAAGCTGATTCCATATACACTCTAGTTCGCTGCGGACGGTTGGGCGTGTCAGGCAGTATGAGTGTTCACACCGTCAAAGCCGTTCTCTGCCTTCTTGTTGAAGCGCGCATGCGACAAAAAGTGGTAGAAAACGAGTAATAACGATATGATACAGTCATATCATTTGCTCGCTTTAACAACTGGTGGAGAACGGGTTTGGCACCGCGCCAAACTCATCCCGCCTGACACGCCCAACCGTCCGCAGCGAACCTCACTATACACAGCGGGTCGTATTCACCCTACGCCCGAGGGGTTTTAACGTGATATTGGACCCTTTCGGTAATGCAGCGACGTTGCTTTGCCAACTGCGCATTTATGACGTGTTTTTATATATTTGTTCTGCTCGACAGGTTTTTTCGTGATTGCAGTTCGTTGCTGACTTGTTAGAACATGGGAACAGAAGCCTTCCCACGCGCCGTTTCTCGCTGACAGATTGTACTCACCAACCTTGAATCCCTGTTTTTGTTGATATATATTTGGAAAATAACACTGTGCAGGTCATTCGGATTACGTTCTTGTTGGGCTATGTTCATACTTCGCGTCAGCGTACGCCACGTATGGCAGTCAGCGTAGCGTTTCGAGCGACTAGGGAGGTATGGATAACGATCTAGCGTTCTGAGCGTCCTTCAGCGTATGTCAGCGCAAAACAGCGTTTCGAGTGACTAAGAGTGTCTATATCGATATAGACGTTTTAGCGTCCACCAGCGTTCAACAGCGTTTAGACGATTACGTGACAACTAAACTTTTGGTGGGGGTCCTGCCACGATAGGCCAGAGCGCAGAGCAATAAGGGACTGCTACTGCCAAGGCATCGTGAGGTACAAAAAACACGATGCGAGCCAGGAGATGAGTTTTTTCGAGGGGAGGGGACACCGGGGTGGATGAGCCACTTAGTATGCGTGAAAAGTTGGAATGTGAAAGGTCAAAGTGGCCATAAATCGCCATTCAGGCAAGAGAGCGCAGAGAAGAATAGGGATTGAGTTTTAGTTGTCCGTAGACCCTTTTAGAGCGACTAAGAAAGTGGGATATCGATCCAGCGTTTTAGCGTCCACCAGCCTACAGCAGCGTTTCGAGCGACTGGCAGGAATATGGATATCGATTTAGCGTGCTGAGCATACAGCAGCGTTTCGAGCGAATAGGAAGTATAGGTATCGATTTGGCGTCCGCTCGAAACGCTGCTGTACGCCGGCGTGCGCTTGCGCTAAGTATGAATGCAGCTCGGTGTGTACGATTTCGCTAAGCGAAAATGAAGATGTAGTTTGTCAGGTCTCACCATTTCTAGTTAGGATGTTGGGACCCTTATCGGATAGCAGAGGACGCTGGCCATTTGATGGAGCGAATCTGATGCCAAACAGAAGGGCAGCCATATGTCACACTGTGTAATCGGTCGGTAATATAATCTGTATAAACAAATGATTATATGCCAAAATTAGAGGAGCTAGGTCTCCATGGAGTCTTCGCTTAGGCGCTAGTTCAATATTCCCTTTATACAGGCCTTGAAACCACCTTCGTTTTCGTTATAAATGGTCAGGGAAAAGAATGCTAGTTATACTTAGGTCTGGGGGAGATAAGTAAAATGGTTCACTTGTGGTTCGTTGTTTCCTTTTGAATTTAACGATCTTCATCCTCTGAATCGCAAATGTTTCTACGCACATTTGGCCTTCCATACAAAAAAATCCAAAAGTATGAAAAGAAAGTTTTCAACTTCTAGAAGCCGCTTGTGTATTCTTATGAATGCCGTAGTCCGTAATACCGAATTCTCCGGTACATAATGCTGTGTGCCTTCGTTTTACATCTATGTGCCATTTTTCGTGCCTTCTGCCTTGAACGGGAGATGTTTGTAGTCATACCTCTTTGATGGCCGTCACTTGGGAACTTGGGAGGAGTTATAAAGGTAAAAAATCTGGTAAAATAGGGAATTGTCAGTTGATAGCTTTAGAACTGTTCCCTCATTTTCAGTCTGTTTCTCTCTTTGCTTACTGTATCACGTGTCATCGGCTGTCGTTCATTTGCGCGCGCTCATCAAGCATTTTTCATCCGATTGTTGGGTTTCTGAGTCGTTCATTTCAGGAGGGCAGTATGCTTGGGAATGTGCTAGCACGAAAGCGAGGCCGCAGAAAGAAGAGGAATTCTCTGACACCTCAGATTGAACATTATGCTTCTCCGTGTAAACAAGAAGCACACCCGTCTGACGATGTGAAACCATGCCAAAATGTCCAAAACCGTCGAAATAATTCGTAAGTTGTTGTCTTTTCGTATGTTTTCGTTTCCCCCTGTATGGTTGCATCATTACAAAGCCACCTATGCTCGTAAAAAACCACGTCCAATTTTTGATTGAATTGATAGAGCACTTTTTGATACGCAAACCAAAGTCTTCTTCGGTTGTTTGCAGTTTTCAATCCCGGAAAAAACCATTCTTTTCAGGAGAAGAGCCGTACAAGATGTGTCGAACCACAAGATCACCGAGTTTTTCCCTGTGAGGAGAAGTTCTCGAAAGACTGGGAAACAACTCGAGGTTAGCACATGCTTTGAAATGTCCATTCAATTATTCAACGATAGACGCACCAGGACTGTTGCAAAACGTGGGAAAATATTTAAAAAAAATCAGGATCAGTCACAAGAATGGCAATCACATGCCCACTCGGGTCATATTTGAGATGAAAAGATAAGAATATTGATCAACAGCAGGGGGGTGGCTAGACAGAGGAAACAGCTATTGAGCTCCAAATTAAATACGTGCACCCGTCGGCGGTGGGGCCTACTACTGTATGATGTGGGTCACTTACTGGAACTTCGAAACTCGAGTTTACCGACCGCTCTCGAGGAATGAAGTAAAAAAAATTCAAATATTTCTAGTAAATTCTAGCGAAAGACCTGCAAGGAACAGCCGTCTTTTCTGCGGAACTTAAGCAGTTTCCTGGAGTAACTGTACAAAATCGATATTATTACAAGACGAGGATAAACAATTGACCAATTTAGAAAGAGAATCTCTATTTCGTTTATACTTGATCAAATTTTGAAATTTCATTAATAGCAATCTCATGTTGGTTCCAATTGTCCGCTTCTGATTCGTATTTGTGTTCTTTCCTCTTTTTGCCCAAAAGATTTGAACTATTTCATTATTAAGGAAGAAGAGAAGGGTGCCTTACGTGATGCTATATATAATATGACGAACGAAACCTTAGTCGAAGTTTATATGGACGAGAAGAAGGGGCGTGGCATCAGAGCAGGCAAATCTTTCGTGAAAAACGAGTTTGTCATTGAATACAAAGGTAGGTTTTTTCGAGCTCGTCATTTCTAAACTTTTTTGTTTTGCATATTCGTGGAATAGTTTCCTTTCGGCAGCGATCAGTCAACGCTCTTCTTCCTTATGAGCTGATTGCACATTGATTATAAGTTTGAAGGATAAAGCCTTTGCGTAAATCAATCCTTTCGGGATGCGGTGCGCATTTGGCTTCCATTCCGAATCGTAGCAACTGATCGCACGTGGTTGCGCCTATAGAATGAATTGCAGGGACCAGACGATGCACAAATCAGTGTTCTTATCCTCCCAGACAGTCCGTTACCAACTCCCGTCATGGGAGGGTATAAGGCTTGGTTGGCATGGGCGGGAGCCGAACCGGGATACGTTTCCTGGCCCGTTCGCGTGGTAAGCGTGCCACTTGCCAACCCCCGAGATCAGGGTACAGCATCGTGATGTGTGTAATGATGGTTACGTAGGTACGACCCCCCTCCTCCGAGAGGGGATGTTAGTGCGACCCCTCCACTTGGGTAAGGGTCTCGGTACGTCCCCCCCCCCTTCTCCAACACCTACCTATCCATTTCCCACATTTTCCAGTTTCCGGGGAGGGAGAGGGAGTAAGGGGAGTGGGTGTATATGGTACACGGTACACACGAAAGAGGAAACGTCAACAACCGGGAATATTTTTTCCCAAACGCAGCAATTGTCTCTCAGTGGCACATACGACCCATTCCTTCTCCCTACGATTGAATACGACCCCACCCCTCCCCAGCGGCGAAATACGACCCCCCCCTTATGCGTTTCAAACAACGATGCTGTACTCCGAGATTACTCCGCGTGACAACCATATTATAAAGTCTAGATTGCACTGGACCTTTGAAGACAAACGGCTCACATATTGTGAATAATGGCAGTCACTTACAAACCTGTAGTCGCTTTATGGCTCTGGAATAAAAAAAGCAAAAAAATGATGGAGAATGCCGGAAGAAAAGACCTGGCTGCCTCTATGGACGAGTTCTCCGGACTTTTTTTATGCCAATAAAAGGGTATCCTACTGCCTATGGCTCACCAATCGTTTCTTCCCGTGATTCAATCTGATACCATCAAACAGTGGAAGCTAAATAGTCTTTGAAAGTTGGGCCCAGACTACGAATACCACGAAAGACGCCTGCCAATTAGTTGAGCGCGGTGACTGCCTTTTATGACATCACATCTAGATGATCATACTCTTCAGCTCCGGTGAGAGACAGTTTGTAAACATCTTCTGTGCGCATTTGTGGTGGTTCAGCTCAGATACAACATAAGGACGTTCCCTGAAGCGATAAAAGATGATTTCTTCTGTTTTAGGGGACATGATGGATTACGCATCGGCGAAGGTCCGTGAAGAGGAATATGCTAAGGATCCATCCATTGGTTCATATATGTACTTCTTCAAACGCAAAAGCAAGAGGTGGTGTGTGGATGCAACGAAGGAATCAATCTACAAGGGTCGCCTCATCAATCACAGCGCATTACGTCCAAATTTACGG